TCCCACCTGTCTATCTATCTACATATCCATATCTATCATTCTCAGCAAGCGAAATTAATCTACGTTAGAGGTGCACGCGTGTAATTATTTGAGATTGTGTAATTTTACGTCTAGACAGAAAAAATTAAAAAGAAGAAAAAGGGGGAAAAAAAAAGAAATAAACATATCGATAAAAATAATAATTACTCAATAAATGTAATTTCCATATTATAATTATTCTTTGTATTTCTCTATATTTTAGTGTCATCGTTTTGTTTCCTATCTCTTGAACTCTATCTTTTTTTCTTCGCGTATATGACTGTTCCAACAGAAGAGCTTCTTAAGAATTTGCTAGCATCTCGCAAGTTTAAAAAGCTAGTCTTTTTTATTTCTCTTCGTCGAGGAGTATGACGACTAAGACGACAACAGGGCGTTTACTTTCGCTACTTAAGGAGCGTCCACACGTCGTGCACCTAAATAAGGCGTGATCGGTACTGAAACGAGTTTCGCACAAGGTAATCTCGTTAATTGGACATGCCACGAGACCCTCTCGTTGTGTCTCTACTCTAGAAAAGCCTCTCGTGTTCCTATGTTCACCCACTCCCTTCTCCCTCCCTATCACTCTTTCTCTTTTATTTTTCCTCTTTTCAACTTTCGCACGATCGCGTCCGCGTAACGTTTGATACTTCATTCCATTCATTTCATTAACGATTCAAATTTGCAGTCATGCGTAATCGAGTCTCTATCCTAAATCAATACTAATTCCTTTGAATCGCGCGTTATCGAACAATCGTTTAATATCTTACGATTATAATAAAGACCGAAATAAAAAATTCATCTGACCGTTCTCTACTAGATTTCAATTATTTTTCTCTCTAATAACACCGTTGCATAATAATTACGAAGCTTGATTTTCTTTTCCCTCTCGAACATGTGCGAGCGAACCTATCATCCGACAAACAACGTCAAAGCGAGGATGATAATCAGCGAGAAAGAATGCAGCTTAAGAAGGAGAGAGAGAAAGACGAGGCTTCTCTCTCCCCGTTAATTAATAACAATTATCATTAGTTGCCTTCATAAGAGGAAAACGAGCAGATATTCTCTCTCTCTCTCTCTCTCTCTCTCTCTCTCTCTCTCTCTCTCTCTCTCTATCTCTCTCACTTCCTCCTACTTTTCATTTTCACAAAGATACACTCAACTTTGATAACTTTTCTCTCTTCTTTAATTTCTACAATTGAACAAACTTATCGAACGTTTAATAAGAAAAATCGCGTTTTAATGAATTATTCTATCGGGTAAGATTTTATTTGAAAAAAAAATATAAAATAAAATAAAATAAAAAAATGTCAAAGGAAGAAAATATAATCGCGCAAGTCGCGTAGATTATACGTGAAATCACCAGCTGTAGAATAGAACACAAAGAGAGAGGAAAGACCGTGCTATATACCTTGACTAAGGTATATACAAGGGGCGGGAGAGAGAGAGAGAGAGCGAGAGAGAGAAAGTACGCGTGAGTCATGGCCGATGACACGCGGAGAACTTACTCGGTCCTCTGTGAATGAAACGTCGTGGAGTAGATTCACGTTGACGTTTACGAGGAATTCTCTCGAGTATCCACGAATCGTCTCTAGAGTATTTCATGCGGAAATAGAGACAGATAGACAGACCCAAATAGGAAAAATAAGTAACACGCGTAAGCGTATATCAATGGAGCCAATCAAAATTGTCACGATTTTACAAATTATTTTTGTTCATCTAATAGTACATTTTGTTGGTTTATACTAACAGTAAGATCAATAAGTAATTATGATATTTTAACAATTGTCTTTTCATTCCTATCTCCTTCTGTCCTAATTTACGCGTTAACTATACTAGAAGAAGAAAAAAAGAAAAGAAAAGAAAAAGATAGATAGGTGGATAGATGGAAGACGAATGTAAAGAGACGTATCGAAGAGAAATCGATTAGAAGCGTGAAAACTCGTTCGATTCGTTTTATTCGAAAGATAAGCTTTCCTCTCTTTCTCTCAGCAACATCTATAAATTCCTCTCATCCGTAAAATCCTCTTGATCTCTGCCGATCTTTATTGCTTTTCTTCCTTTTCATCTTTCTTTTCTTCTAGCATTCTACGTTAATCTCAAAAGTGTCTTCTTATCTATCTTCGAAAGGGTGATTAATTACGAGCGAAAAAGTGAAATGAATTTCAATTGAAAAACTGGCCCCATATATATTATACATATAAATATATATATATATATAAAATTAAGTTTATCGATTTGTTTTATTTAGTCCACTATTACCGACACACGGGTATACACTTAAAAAAGCAATTCTATAGATTGTATATATATGCATTTACATATACGTACGTATATGTAGATAATTGAGAATAAATGCGTACGTAGTTTGTAGTTATTAGAGCATCTCCCTTTCGTTTCGTTGTTCATCTAGGAATTTGATGGTCTCACGGGGTTTAGTTAAAGATGGGCTTATACTCGTATATAGGAACGAGTGATTAATGGTTCCGAGAGTTCTTTGTCGCGATGAGGAGGACGAGGACGAGGACGAGGACAACGACGACTAAGGGAAACGATCAAAGAGGGACAATGCAAGTCGCGCGTAATAGCGTGTCGTCTCGAGCAACTCTTCTAAAAGAATGACTGACTGCCTGAGTAGGGAGGGAAAGGAGAGAGGGAGAGAGAGAGAGAAAAGAGGGAAATGAAACTTCATGGAAAGTTAAACTCGTGTTATAATCGTCTACTTCTTTTTTTCCACCAATTAAGATTAAAGTAAATTTATGTGACCGATGTCGTTGACTTTGAAATGTCTATTTCTAAAGGAACGAAAGTATATACATTTTTCATCTATTAAATTCACGAGCTAGAAAAGAAACCAAAGTTCTATTTTGCATATTAATGAGCGTATTAATTATCCCCCGCGAACAAGAAATTCTCCTTTAATTTAAAATTTGGTGGTATATACGACGCGTTACCGCACGCCGAAGTAAAATTGGGCTGAAATTATTGCGGACGACCTGTGATTCTCGTCGATGAGATTCAAATGAATGTAGAGAAATGTTTCAACTGGCGTTCAAGTGTAGGAAGAAGAGATGATGGAGGTGGTGTCGCTCGTAAAGACCGCAGAGAGTTGCAAACCCGGTGAAATGTGGTTACCCGTGTGTGGATGCGTGTTGATAAATCCTATGACAATGCAAAACCACTGTTCTTCCCTCTGTCTCTCTCACTTTCAATTTGTCTTTGTCATTCATTCCAAATACAAATTTTTCAAGGAACGATAGTATTTATCTATTTAAAAATGAAAATAAAAGAAAATACTATTTGTTCAAACGAATTTTCATTTCAATGCTTCGATATTACGTTGCACAAATTAGAATAGAACACGATCGATTAAATTCTTTGGAAGGAAGACTACATTTTTCAACGAAATCTAATTTGAATTCTCGTTTTATGGAGAATTGAAACGTCGAGAATAAAACCTACATACGATAATTGAAACAGTATTCGGAAAAAATTGATAGAAAAAAAATGAAAATGGTAAAAGATAATAATACGCGGATGGAACGTAGAAATGATCAAATTTCGTTTTATTTAATCGCAGAACGATTAGCGTATAGACAAAAAGAATCGAGCTTATCGTGCAGGACGATAATATCCTTTTACTCGTGTCTGGTTAACGAATTTCGCGGATTAGAGCACGTGTCAAGGCGCGTTTAGTTTAAACGTACCGGCTTTTGAATAATTAACCGCTGTCACCGACAGCCGGTAAACGTCCCGTATCCTCGAACGACGTCTAATTAACCTCTCGTTTCTGCTCAACAGGAATACGAAGCACATAGAATCAAATAGAAAGAGAGAGAGAGAGAGAGAGAGAGAGAAAGAGAGAGAGAACTAGGGTTTTTCAAAGGGAGCGGAACATGATTACATAGAAAGTAGTTTCGACGTCGTCACCTTTGCAAAATTTTGCGACCAAAGAGACCACCCTTGTGGATGGACCACATTTTCCAACATTAACGAACCTAAATCATTCTACATTTTACTAACACAACTAAAAGTTACAATATATCATTGTTTAAATTATTTCAACATATATGTAAAAAAACAAATAGAAAAAATGAAAGAGAAATGTATGATACTAATATCTTGTTTAATCTCCCTTTCTCTTTCTCTTTCTGACATTAATTAGCAATACGTCCACACAAACACATAATTAATGAATGAAGGTAACGATCAAAGGTGATTGCTAATACACGTCGACATTACAACCGTATTACAAAGCGATTATGATTTTGTGATATCGGATACATTAAGTAATATATTAAATTAGTAGGATAATTTAACTGCTGGCAAAGCATAGAAAGACTCCTTCCAAAGAAAATTCATATTGCGAATATTCTAGTATGAAATATAATAAAATATTGGAAAAGAACAGATATAGAATATACGTAATAGAGAAACAGAGAGAAAAAGAGAGAGAAAATTAATTGAGCGTGCAACAGTTTCTCGAGTTTTTGTAATCTCGAAATCGAAGATACACGTCGTTAAAACGTAAAAACAAGCAAGGCTATTTTATTTTTCTCTTCTCAAAAGTAACAACAACGAACGTAAACAAAATCAAAGGAAAACTTTGAATGTTCAACGAGAGTTTTAAAAAAGTTCTAGTTGGCTTTTATAAAATGAAACCGAAGCTTCGTTCGTTCGTTTGTTCTCTTGGCCGAGTCCAAAATAAAAGTTCCTTTTAACATAAGAAAACATTTTTTTCTCACGAAAACAGGTATCACGAGTTACATTTGAAATAGCGGTACCTTGAAATTGACAATAGAATTCTTATTAAGTTGAATACAATAATATACAAAACTATCTTAAAATAATATTATAAGCATCTTCGTTTATTTCCGTCGTATCAATACAAACAACGCGGAGACTTCAATTTTGGTCTGGTTGAGAATATAGAAATAAAAAAGGGCTAGGAAATATATATAGAAAATAGGAAGTGTTAGACTTACCGTTAAAACGAGGATAATCCGTGTGTAAAAGCGAATGGAGAAAAGGGCAAGAAAACTAAGAAGTAGAACAATGCACCGATGCACCCTTTCGAAGAAAAAAAGTTATATATCCCTTTGTTTTTTTCTCAATCTTTCTATAGTCGATAATCGTCGTTGTCGTTGTTGTTGTTGTTGTTGTTGTTGTTAATGCTGTTATTCACTATGTTCTTGTAGCACATATCACACCAATATAATAAATAATTCAAATAAAACGAACTGAAGGAAAATATGAAAGAAAAAAAAAAAAGAAATAGGAAGAAGAAAGAAGAGTGGAGTCACAAATATATCAAATTCCGCGCTCAAGTTGAAACGTCACGCGGGCCCGGATTATTGGCTCGTTTTGCATTCGTCGTCCCTTCACCCTCTCTCTCCCTCTCTCCCTCTCTCTCTCTCTCTCTCAAAATCCGTGTATATATTTCTATCTTCGTCGAAGAACTTTACTTTCACTCCTTAGGAAGAGGCGAACAACGCACTAATAATATATATATATAAAGCCGGTGTGTTATATATATATATATAATATTAATAAATATATATACAAATAACGTAATCCGTGTGTGCAATTGAGCGCTTCTTGAAGGGTGAATTATTTACTTGTTCTTCGTTGGTCTCTTTCTTTCTTATATAGGAGAAGACGAGTCGCAGCTTCTCTATCACGTTACCCGTTCGACCGACCGACTGGTACTCTCTTCTCGTACTCGTAGTCGTCGTTCGTTGGCCGTCAGCACTGCCTCCACCTCCACCTCCACTTCCACCTTCACCTCCACCACCAGCACCAGCACCACCACCAGCACCACCAGCACCACCACCACCACCTTCGTTGCCGCCGTCGCCGTCGCCGCTGCTGCTGTTGCTGTCGTCGGGTTTAGGTCGGCGGTCGCGCGCAGTAATACACTCCACTTTACACGCACGAATGGAATGACGACGCACTACGCACGCATGCACGCAACCACGCACGCGCGATTTACGAAAAATGCTCAGATGCGAACAGACAAAATCTTATATATATATATATATATATATATATATTCTTCTCTTCCTCTCTCTCTCTCTTTTTGTCTCTTTTGGATTCGACAGATTTTACATAAAAAAAAAAAGCAAAGAGCGAAAGAGAACACACTAGAACAATGGATTTGTACAAAATAGAAAAGGATAAAACGATAAGCTTCCCACTATTATTGTTCTTCCTCTTCTTGTTTGTTTTTTTTTTCTTCGATGTTTTTTGTGGATGCAAATAAAAAAAAAAAAGATACAATATAATACTGACAATATAAAGAAATAAATTGAATTGTTGTCGTCGCGATGATATATGTATGTAGCAGCAAAATAAAAAAAAATATTCGATACGATTAAGAGAATAAACGTAATAGCCCCTTCTTTATATCAATGTTATATTTCGATCGTTCCGTACGTTCCTTTGTTCCTCACGGCTCGGCCGCTGCTACGTGACTGACCGGTTCGTGCGCACCCGTACCGTGCGAGGTGTGCCGAAGACGAACGAAGAGGGACCAACGACGACGACGACGAGGAACCTACGACGACGAACCTACGACGACGGTTCGTCGATCGGAAACGACCCTCGCCGACCGAGGGAGCCTTTCTTTGTTCGCCCGAGACTGAATGGCACGCCGGAGTCGTATACAAGATTATACCTTTCCCCCTACCTTCCTCAAGCAACCTCTCTTTTCCTTTACATATATCTCTCCTTATCTATCTTTCGAATTCCTCGTATTCTCGGTCCGTCTTTCGAACCTCCGCTCAACTGAACGTTTTTTCTTCCTATCCCTTAGATTCTCCTCCTAATATGTTTTCCCTTTTTTTCCCCCCTTTACCCCAAATACTTTCTATTTTCCCTAGCATATCCTTTCGCTTTCTCTCTCTCTCTCTTTTAAGCGGTCGGTCGGTCGTCTCAACGAGAAACTCCGATGTAAATGCTTCTACGATCTGTTAGTAACTGAAAGTCACGATACACTCCAGAATAATATATATATATATCTGTATGTGTAATGTCTACGTGCATATGTATGTTGGCAGATACTGACTCGACGCGACATGGGCGTCCCGACGTGGGCGTCCCTGCTACTCGTCGACGCGACGCTATATCCAACTTGGAAAGGGTGGGTTCTAACCACCACCACCACCACCACCACTATCACTACCACACTACTATTACTAACCCCTCATCCTCTCTACGACTCTGTAATACCAGACTGCCTCGAATATCACCCCTTCGAGATTGTAAGGGTGAATTGCAACGGGTGTCCGAATCGCTTCCAGACACTTTTTCTCTTCTTTCTTCGATTATTAATCGTATTGAAAACATACACGTTTAAACGTTCCTATTAATTAAGATTTACATGAGATAAATGTTAGATTACCTATCGAAAGCGTGCACCTATTTCAGATCAGATTTTCTCTAAACTATATTAGAAATTTGTTTGTCTCTCGTCTAAACATTAAACATCTATTATATCGACTAATTTATTTCATTCCTCTTATGTTCGCGAATGGACTCATTAAAATGATTATTTGACGAGAGACTCGACATAGAAATCGATTATAATAGGCGTACGAGTTCGCAATAAACCTACGTAATAGACGAGAGACAAATAACCTAGCGTTCTAAAAAAGCAGCTCGATATCTCAATAACATCGTAAAACGGTATCCAATTACCGAGGGAAAAAAAGAGAGAAAGGAGGATAAGGATAGAGAGAAAGGATTAGAAACATTTCTTCCATGCCATAACCTACGGTACATCGTAATTTCTCATGGATCGATAAAAGCTAACCCTTTATACATATTTACAGGATGATTCGATACAACTATTCCCTACTATTCGCATACGATGAGATAATATGTAATTAAACACTTTATTTATATACTTCATCCTTGATTTTCATTGAATTTTTACGAACGTGGATGATGAAGAAAATAAAAAGTTAGCAGCAAAGTTAGAATTAGAAAATCCTCCCGGACTTGTGACACATCTGCGCACAAAAATTCTATCAGAAAATTGAATTAATGTTAGTTTCAGTTATTTTTCCCCATTATCGATGAATTGAAAAACGATAGAAGAAGAGAAAGAACATTTTCTTTACGTGTAATATGTGTTAGTAACGTTAAATAATGAATAAAAGATCGTTCGGTGAACTTCTATCGTTCGAGAGAAATTTTTCCATAAAGATAGAAACAGAAAATAGAACTAGAGAAAAAAAAGGCTGGGAAAAGGCTGGGAAAAGGTTGGGAAAAGGCTGGGAAAAGGCAGGGAAAAGGGAGACAGAGGTTTTAGAATTTCAAAGTTCCCCATTTCCTCCGTCCCTCTTTTCGAAAAGAATTTGGTTCAGAACCTCCACTCCATCGACGAATGTTTTTCTACGAACGTTAAATTTCTCGCTTTCTCTTCTCCTTTTTTTTCCATCCATTTTATTTTCCTTTTCTTTTTTAAATTTTATTAAAATTTGAAAGAAAAGGTTCCTTCCAGCTTTCAAAAATCAGGTAGATCATCGTACGTAGAAAAGCATATTTTAAAAAACAGAACCTTTTCTTCTGTCCTACTATGAGAAAAAAAATGCTGTTTCTTCGGCAAAATAAATAGTCGAGGGGCTTATTTAAGGATTCCATGAATGTCTCCTTGGAAGACTTATCTGCCTTTTTTCCCCTATTTTTTTCTCCTTTTTGTTTCATTTGAATAAGAAAATTCATGGATCCTAGGAAATTCCAGTCTTATGTGTGAATTTTTCGTATCGAATATTTTTTTAAATCACTACCGAGTCATTCAATTAATCCGAAAACAAAATTCGTAGTTTCTCTAAGTCTCTATCCTTTTCAAACTCCAGCAAAAATTTGAAAAATGCTCGTACAAAGGTCGAATGAAAATGGTAGACATAGACGAATAGAAAAACCGTCCCTAATAATATCCAGATTCACTAAACTAAAGATAGAAAAAGGAAATAGTCGGCTGTTTAGAAAAAGAAATAAAAGGACAAAAAAAATGTAAAGGAAATGTTAAAAAATAAAAGGAGTCTTTTCTTTCTCGCCCTTACTTTGGGTTACAAAAATGTCTCGAAAAGATCGGAAAGGCAATAGAAAGAACATAAACGATCGACCTTTCCGTTCTTTATCTTTTCCATTCTTCGACTTTTCCTTTTTCTTCTTGTTCTTCTTTTCTTAGAAAGAGTTCAAAAATCTTTCGTTGACTCAACTTACAAAAATAAATGATTTATAAGATCCGAATTTGACATTCTATTTGCTTAACGAAAAAGTCGAAAACTCAGATGATATTTTCGATTAGACATAGAGAATTTCAATATTTCAAATGAATTAAATTCTAAATCAAATTAACGCATATCCATTATTCTAATATTTATTTAGATCGAAAACCTTCTAGATTGGAAAATATTTTCAAGATAAAATTCGTTCGATTTAGAATCGAAGGAACACACGCGCAGGCGTCTATTTATTCCATCATTGCTCGGGGCAATAATCGAAAGTCTCACTCGAATGAATCCTGAGAGTTCGATAAATTCGTTAAAGGTCTCGAAGGACGTTCTCGAAGAGTCTATCGGAGGGCTTGCTTAAACCATTTTTATTTGTACTCTTTGCAACGTAATCCTTTTTTGTCTTCCCCGGAGAGGTAACGCATCAGACATCGAAAGTGAAATAAAAAAAAAAAACTAGAAATTTATATATATATATATCTCTCTTTATTTTTATTTCCTTTGGTGATTTCTGTTCCCTCCCTTCTTGTGTCTCCTCCGTGTCTCTACCTCTTCTTTCGTGATATACGAACGAGAAATGTTGAGAACATTTGTAAATTCTATCGACGTCACCATCGTCGACCAACATGCATCAATATTTGTTCGAATTGAGGAAAAGAGAAAAAGAAGATAAGAGAAACGGTATTAGACCAACGCGCAAAACGCAAATAGTGCACAACCAACATTGAAAATCGATACAATTTTGTCTATGAAAATAAAATGAAAATAAAAATAAAGAAAGATAGTGAAATATATGGGATACTATTAAAAATATTGAAGAAACGCAACCCTGACGCAACGATTTGCATCGTTGTTGGAAAGACGAATTACATAAAGTACGTTTGACTTTTCGAATAAAGCGAATTCACGAATCTCGATAGAACAAAGAGAAACGATTCTCCTGATCCTTTCCGAGTTGTTTGTTTAACTGTCGGAGAGAAAGTACTCGTTTAACTTCTTCTCGTCTTCAACTACGAAACGAGTTAATAATAATCAACGATGTTGTCTCGTAAGAAGCTTTACGAACTTATCTTCTTCGACAATTTTATATTACATTAGCGAAAGAAAAAAAAGACAGAAAGGAAAGGAGAGAGAGTTAATTAATAAAATATAATGAAAAGCTCAGTAAATTAGAAAAATACAAAAATACGTTAACAACGTGTGAAAAAAATAAAAGAGTTAAAAGAGAAAAAAAATGTGAAGGTAAATATTGTTACGGCCCTGAAGGAAAAGTTCAACCGACCAACATGGGGCACCTGCTTCAGGAGCAGGAGACGTTACATGCAACGAACCTACCCTACCTTCTCCTCTCCTTTACTCACAATGTCTTTTGGCTCGTCGGTTACGTTCCATTTCGTTCCGGGCAAGCGGATACAAAGGGCAGTGGTTCTCGTTCGCCAGACAGCCCACGAAAAGGACCAAGACGAGGACGAAGACGAGGACGAAGACGAGGACGAATACGAGCCTATTTTCTGTTTTTCTTTTTTCGCGTCGATCGAAATTACAGAGCAAATAAAGAATAAGTAAATGTTGACCTACGAGAAGAGTTCTTTAATTAGCAAATAAAACACTCCAAAATATAATCAAATTAATGGGGATACATTAGAATTTCTTCTTAATAGAAATGTATTTCGAAAAAATTAATATAGAAAAGAAATGTTTTTATAGAAATTCTAACGTTTTACTTTT